ACCCAGCAGCACCGTCTCTGGGCTATGGGGAGTCTTAAGCATTTGTAGACCCTGCGGAGGGCTCTGCTCAGTTGGTTCCTGCAGCCATGGATGCTTAAAGCCCACCTTCAACAGGCTGACAAAGGAGACAGTGCCAGGAGCTCGGTAAACTCCGTTGGGTCTGTGCCAGAGAATTGTTTTATACACAAACAAGCAAAATCTCTGGAAGGGAAATAACATCGAGCCTTGCAAGGTAGCTGAAGGCGCCGATTGAGGATGGTGGGATTTATATCTGCTCTGGTGCCAAAAGTTCCAGGGATAAATATGACTAAAATTCAGTCAGTAACCCTCATAAAAGTGAGTGCTTCTGTCTGCTGGTAGGCTGTCCTGGCAGCGGTCGAGCAACCCTCGCCTCGCCGAGCTCTGGCAAAATGGATGTGGAAAGAGTCCAGAGTTCAGCCTGTCTTAAATCCGATGGATAAAAACCTGAGAAGTCCTTGAACGTTAATCCTTAATGACGTCATTTTTGCTTTCTGTTGTAAAACCCTGCGCGTTAATGCTAGGAAGGCATTTGTGTGTGCAGGACAACCCGTGCTGATGGGGTACGGCAGCGCCGTGGAGGTTTGTTCATTGCTTCAGCGTCACCTGCTTGGGTTTCTCCTCCTGGGAAACTGTCCCTGCCAGCTAAGGCAGCTAGTGGCTAACAACAGGATTTCTCACAAAAAAAAAGTCCTGCTTGCCTTAACTAATCTGTTTAAAATGAGTAATAATTCAATGGTAGCAACAAGTTTGTAAAAGCGGCTTTCGGGATGGTTTCAGTTTTGTGCTTCGCAACTGGCTCATAGGAACCCCAGATGCTTTAAGATATAAATACTCCTTGAAACAAAGGGTCCTTTAATCATGGGCACGAACCTTATTTATGGCTGCAAGTGGCATTTAAGAGCAGTGTGACAACTAAAATACTTGGCTTGGTTAGAAAATCTAAACAACATTGAGGACATTAGGAGGATGTCTTCTAGACAGCGGTTCAGTTTAAAACAGAGAAAGATACTGTGATTTCTTATTTTGAAGTGCTGACATTTCCCATATGTTCTTCAGTGAATATGAGCTTGAAATCAGCTTCACTTTGACACTGGAAGTTTGCCCAAGAAAAGTTTAGCAGCCAATCAGCAATATCCATGGCATTTCGCAGATCTTCATGAAGGACACAAATTTAAAAAAAACAAAACAAAACAACAACAACAACAAAAACCCCACCCAAAACAACCCCCAAACCCAAAACATTTCAAATGATCTGTCTTGGAGTTTAATAACAGCGTGTTGTGGGATAATGTCAAAGGAACGCAGGAGAAACCCGAGACCTGATGGCTGCAGTCAAGCGAAGTGCGTTGCAGAAAACACGGCGTTGGGCTTCAGCTGTGCGGGTGCCCAGCCGAGCCGCCGCAGGCTCCTCTTGACAGCTGGCGCAGCGTTGAGGTTTGGGGGCCTGAAGGCTGCCTTTTGCAAAAAAAGCCATCCTACTTGTTGCCTAAGCCTGGAAGCAGCTAAATTCTGCAGGACCTTTATGTTTTAATTATAAATCTTGCAAAGCCCCTGGAGGTCTCTTTCTGTGCATGCCCCCAGGGGCTCTAGGCTGAGTAACCTAACCCCAAATTCATGCCCGATGGGGATCCAGCCTGGAAATCTCCCTCTGCGTTAGCCCTTGGGGGCAGTGATCTGGTGGGTCTTTTCGGAGCACCCCTAGCACCCCCCCGCAAAGGGAGAGAGGGGCTGATGTCCCGGGGAGGGGTGGGCACGGACAGCTTTGAAGCGAGGGAACCAGCAGCCCGCTGTATGGCAGGAGGGATGCGCTCGGCCTCCAGGTCGTTTGGGGTGACCGCTCCGGGGCACCCCTGTCCCGCTGGGCTTGGGGGTCTGTGGGTGGTGCGGCGTGGGCAGCCGCTATCCAGACTTGCCCTCGGAGGGAGGATGTGGAGGATACTGTATCTGCCAGCCCTGCTTGGGCAGCTGCCAGCAGCCTTCGGGAAACACCACAGCATTGCCCAATTTAGTTCCAAGTCCTGCTCCGCTAATTTGTTGGGCTGGGAGTCCGGAGGGTGTGGAGGGAGGAACTCTTGTTGCTGAGGCTTATCAGTTAAAATAGCACGGGAATAAAAGGGGCTGCCTTTCTCCCGAGCTGAGCTAAGGGAAAATCAGGGCCATTTAAGAATTACAGAGCCTCGTTCCTCCAAAAGTTGGGTACCTGATCATTACAGACCACACACCCTTACTGGAAGGCACCTACTGTATGTGCACGCTTCAGATGGGAAGAGCTGCACTCCAGTTTCTCTTGCATGCCATTAGAGAAGTAAAGCAAGTAGCTCTTGGGTTTCTCAGTAAATACGGAGAGTTTTCAAACCTTGCTTTTCTTGAAAACAACAAACTCTGCATGTTTCTTCTCCTTTCTGTACAATCCTTTTAATGATTTAAAAGGATAACCCACAGCGAACTTTAGGGGAGAGAACTGCCGGTAGTTACTGGCAGCGCAGAATACGGTAACCGTGCTGTCTCACTGACAGGGTGCCATGCTTTATAATGCTAATTTCTGCTAATAATCCTGAAACGCGCTTTGGCTATTACATAAAACCTTTGGAGTTACTAGCAGCCTTTTAAGATCACTTACATTAGTGAGGAATTTGTGGTCAGTGATGAGTTTGTGTCGTGCCTTTGTATTTGTGCCTGTGTTGGCCATTGACTGAAGTAATTTCAAGGGCTTACTCTTAATTTGGGGGTAGGGGAACGATGTGAAACGTTGCCTGTCCAACCGCATAGTGTCTCCGTGCTTCGGTGTATACCCACAATGTGAGAGAAGATGATTGCTGAGACAGAAAATAGTTGAAGAGCCTTCAGCAGAAATACATCCTATTAAGTCTCTTACCAAGAAAGTTAAGAGAAATAAAAGCTTCCCTGTAGGTCTCTTACATGCCATGTCCTCCTCGTTCTCCTCCCTGCTTCTTTGGAGCGTGTTGCCAGGCAGAGATGAAAGTGGGAGAACCAAGCCCAAACTGGTCAGCTGCCAACTGCTGGGGCCTCTGACTCAGAGCTTCGGCAGCTATAGGAATAATTAACATCTCCCTGCGCTCACTTATATTTTTGTACATCTTTTGTGTTGAATCTTTAAAACCAACTAGGATGGCTGTACGGGAAATAAATACAGTCAAGCCCTGAAAAAATACAGCTGTAGTCTTAGCTCAGCTAATCAGCTAGACTTCTGCAAGGTTTTGGTTTAGTTTAGGGATAAGCCTTCTCCCACCTCTGATTATTTTAAATATTAAGCATTGATATATGTAACAGAAATATGTCCACATGATGGACATCTCTTTTCTTTGATCCTGAAGGCAGCGTTCATGACTAGCAGCTGTACAAACGCGCCCGTGCCGCAGAGAGTCTGTGATGGGACACATCCTGGGTTTGCTCCGAGAGGGGAGAGCGTTCGGGCGCTGACGCGCTCTGGCCGTGCTGCCACCTCCGCTGCGACAGCACTCTTGGTGCTGCGGTTACCCCAGAGGCATTTACTAACAGAATGCAGAGCATCCTCGGTGTTTTATTCATGTGGTTTGCATTCCTCTGTGTCCAGTTAGAGGTGTGAATTCCCATCCTCCCCTCGAATGCTCTTTCATCTGGGGTGAGTGCTGGGTGGCTGTCGGCATACGAGCAAACTTGCCAAAACCAACGGCACCCAGGCTCGCAGGGGAGGGAACGACGCTGTCAGCAGCGAGAAGAGAGGCTCGGCACCGGGCTGACGGGGGCTGCACCCTCACCTCGGGACGGGGCAAGCACCAGAGCCTCAAGGAAGGCTGGAGGCCAGCGGGCTGGCGAGGAGGTTCGGTGTTACAGCACGTGGAATTAACAACAACCGTAAAAGACAAAAAGCTGGGCCAGCTCCTCAGGGGCTGTTGGCAACCCCATGCATTGCCAGGCGGAGGTTTGACGTTTGATAATCCGCTCGGGGGGAGCTCCCAGGCTGGGAAGCCAAGCAGTGCTCCGTGGAGACTCTGCCTGCAGCTGCTGGGGAGCTGGAGGGCTTTGCTCTGCTCTCTGGGGAGCGCTCACGGCTGGCAGGGGGGTTTCACGTAGTGGGGTGTCCGAGCTGCTCTCACAGGAGAAAGGCAGGCACCCCAAAGCACAAGCTACCTTCTGCCTCTCGCACCAACTCACAGCGCTCCGCGCTCGCTCACACAAGATGCCGCAGAGATGCTTTGTCCTTACCAACGACGCAACTCGGGAGTGCTGCCATGCAAAATTAGTCCCCAAAATCAATGAAATATGTGTGTATTTGAAGAGGTGAGATATTTTTATGATCTCGCTGGATCAGAGCAGCAGTGCAGTAGCGTTTTAGAGTTAGGTGCATATAGCATACTAATTAAAGTGCGTTATGTGAATGTTACAGTAATGTTGGTGACCTAAGTGGTGAGAATTGCATAGAAGTTTTGATTATTTTGTAACGAGGGGAAAATTTCTGTCCTTAAATTTCTCTTATAAAAAATACCCATAGTCAATTGAGTATATTTATGTTGTACCAGAGAATTTTTGCACTGCTAGAACTGAACAAACTGGAGTTTGATTGCAGATTGTTTTGCCGTGACTCTGTACTGCAGGTCCATGGGTCATTTGCCGCATTGAGAAAATACAACAAACCTCTCACGAATTGAATTCTTCAGATTTTTTTTTTTTTTTTGTCCTTCCACAGATCCTTAGAATTTGCACAAGATACACACCAGAGCAAGACACCATGACCTTTTCAGATGGCCTTACCCTAAACCGAACTCAGATGCACAACGCCGGATTTGGCCCGCTGACCGATCTCGTGTTCACGTTTGCCAACCAGCTCCTGCCTTTGGAAATGGATGATACAGAAACAGGTCTCCTTAGTGCCATCTGCTTAATCTGTGGAGGTACTGTACAGCAGAAACTTGGATGCGTTTGAGAAGGACAGGCACGATAAGATCTTCATTTATGTTTTACTTGTTTTGCTTTCCTGTACTAAAACATATATATAAAAACATATATATGGTGTATAAACCATTTAACGGTAAAGGTCTGCTTGCCACTGGTGATACTTCCTGGGTTTATTATTGATAGGTTTTTAAATTAATTGAATCATTCTGTTAAGCAACTGATCCTGTATTTCCCTGATAAAGGACTACAGGATATGTCCTGCCACATTTTTTTATAAATGGTACACGGGTACCTGTATGAATGACCTTTGTTACGGCAAGATGCCCGCTATGCAGCTTTTACTCATAAATACAATTGCATGCATGTGCATATAGTTACATTCACACAGAAGTCATTGGTGATAACTTTCTTTAGAAAAAAAAAAAAGATTATACTTCAAAACTAGCATAGTGGCACTGATGACATGATTGGGGGGGGCGCACTGATTACAACTTGAAAGGGACATTGTCAAGTGAAATCGGGTAAAATCACAGTTTTAAAACACAAAAAGTGAAGTCTCGGATCGTTTCCAAAATCCTCTGTAAATTTCTGTTATTTTGATCACCTAGTCTCTCTCCTCCTTTGCAAAATCCGGACTAGCAATAGAAACACACCTTGTTTAGTGGGGCCATTTTGGTGAAATACAACTCAGGCGCTACCCGAGAACGTTTAGAAAACAAGAGTCAGTCTTTGTTGACAATGGCCCTTTAGTACAAAATCATTCCGAATTTATGTGTCTCTAACCATAACCCACCAAAAGCATTGATGGGTTCTGAGATGTCATTAACATGCGACTGGTGCATTCTGGTTTACGGGTGACATCTGTTGTCACTCAAGCTAGCACTGCCATCTGCTGATACCTAATGGTAGCTCACTTTATTTTAGTATTGATACAAAAAATATATTAGCTGTAATCTCTTTGTGTACCTAGGCAGCTTATCGATGATGCGTACAATATTAAGTCTGAAATACCGTTTGCAGCCAGGTGTTTCCCCTTGGAGAGGGAGGTACAAGAGCAAACTGGTAATTCTGGACCACTCAAATGACCAACCTTTCCAGCCACCAAGAAAAACTGAATCTAAGTTTCAGAAGGCCACGGTTTATCCTCTCCCTGTGGAATCCTCACTACAGTGTGGGTCATAAGTGGAGAGAAAGGTGAAATTCATGGAGTTCTATTCAAGAACATGGAGGAGCACTTGTGATTTGGAGTTTGTAAAAACAAAAAACCAAACAAACCAAAACAAAACCAAAAAACCCAACCACCAAAAAAAAAGCAACCAAAAAACCCCAACAATAATTTAAAATCCCATGAATGATATGCTACTTTTCTACAGATCGCCAGGACCTTGAAGAACCAATGAAAGTGGATAAGCTTCAGGAACCATTGCTTGAAGCACTGAAAATTTATATCCGAAAGAGACGACCCAACAAGCCTCATATGTTCCCAAAGATCTTAATGAAAATCACAGATCTTCGCAGCATCAGTGCAAAAGGTACGGTGTCTCCCAATAATTCAGCAGTAGTGTCCGCGTTACGTTTCAGAGGAAACTGGCCTTCAGACCTGGGTGGTTGTTTTTTTAATATATCTAAGAAAGCTCCTAGTGACCTTGCTGTTCCCTTCTTCTTTATATAACTCCTGTGTTTAAATTGGTTCTGCGTTAAACATACGTGGTGCTACAGTCTTCATGCAACTTACAGTGAAAATGATGTCTTAGGTATAAATAGGTTAGCAAATCATTAGCCTGAACTCTTTGTTAGTCATTTTAAGACAAGATAAAATCCGAACTAAAGCTTTGTTCATGTTTACAAGGGGGGTGTGGGTCAACATGTACTTTGTATCACTAACGGCTTTCAAAAAACAAAGGCTGTTTACAGACAGCCAAAACCACTTGTGCATCCAAAACCCCCTAAACTGATCTGACGTACTGAAGATTTAGAACCGATTTGGTCCAGAATTTTGGAGAGTCAGCACCTCTAACCCAAACTAACCATCCTTACGCGTGGATCACTTTGGCTTTAACATTTTGTGTAGTCTTGTATGTGGTTGATTGATCATGGGAAACACACACAGTATCAGCACTATCGTCGCGTGAATTCTCTAAAGCACAGGTATAGTTGAATGCTTTCATTTCATCAGAGC